TTGAAGCTCGTTTTTCGTATCAAGTTCATGTGCAGTGACACTGGTCACTAGTGTCGATGAAATTTTGTTTTCTATAATTTCAGGGTTAATTTCATGATTTGTGCTTTACTGTTTGGCTATATAACTAGGGGACAAGTTATTGTTTATGGTTCGACCGTTTTTATTTTGCTAAGCGAGGTTTTAAATGACTGAAATATCGACGAACAAATTGTAAACAAAACACGACCTCTTCAGTGCACCGGACATAACTAAAATAAAATTGCCTTCAGGTGCTCTAAAATGATAAGAAATCTACTAAGTGGGTATGTTTTATCCATGGCAGAATGGAATGGTGTAAGATGATCTGTGTAGCTGTTAGAACGTTATAAGTGACGTGTGGATCCAAAACAATAACCACTAAGATCAGCTGTTTCATCAGTCAGGACCAGCCTATGAAGCCCAATGATCAGGGACAGCTGGGTCCAGTTTTGAACCATCAAAAAGCTACAGACTCAGGTGATTGGTGATAATTTTTAAATGTGTCTTATAATCGTCGATAGTTACAAACTAAAGAGCGTCGAGCGCGTACCAGAGCGAAGCGGCGCCTCGTTAATCTTGGAACTATTTCCAGACTCATTCACCTCCGCGCTTCCTGTGCTTCTCCCTCCCCGTCACTGCGCGCGTGTCCTCTGATTGGCCGGAGAGGGGGTGGGATTCCGATTTAAAATTGGCCAGTATTTTTTAATCATTATGAATGGCAGTGTGTAAATCTTCATAATTCTTTAATGGCGACACTAAGGAAGACAAAGACCATCCAACAGCCGTATTAGCTTGTATTTAATTTTTGTCGTCAATCTAGTACCTGTATAATCAATTAGTGTGATTATGCTTAATGTATTTGCGTATTTGAATATTAAATACCTCATCTTTCTTCAAGGTGCTTGAATTAATCCAGCTAGTGGCATTCAACTGTGTTTTCCTACAGTCACCCGACAAAGTTGGCTTCCTTGTACTGTTTATAGTACAGAAAGCTGCTGATTGCTGCATATTTATACTTTGCAATACGGTTTATACTTTGTCGTATGGTTTGTACTTTGCCGCACATCAGGAGTCCAACGAAACAACACAAAACAGCGTGGTTCTATTATGCACGTAATCCGTGTACGCTTGGAAATAGGTTGGCAACACTTAAAGATAATAATACTATGCGCAGCTGATTGACTATTATAACTACGATTTAACCTGTCATTTCGTGTTTATAGTTTCGGTATTTCTGAACTTTCTGGACTTTTCTTTTAAACGTTTTTAAAACATTCCTACGATCTTAATAAACAAGAAAATACCTTTAAAGCATTTTTTTAGGCGCGGAAACCACTTTAAATTACAAAAACATACGGAACTATATTCTCAAAACGCGGAGCACATTTCTTGCCGAGGAAAAATAGTGGAGTGATACGGACCGGGTACTACTTTCTCTAGGACACCTATTTGTGTTGCCAGCTGAACCTTAAAAACGTGTAGTATAATGTTTGAAAGACTAATTATTTATATGCTTAATAGTGACTATAGGAAAAATATAATGTGTAACACGAGTGCAAAAGGCCTTTGCTGCACTCGAAATCATTCCGCACTCGCCACTCACGTGTGCAGCAAACAGCCACTTTACCCACTAGTTACACAAATAACTATTCCATACCACTGCATGGAAATAATCACATTGCCATATCTGTAAATAGTATGCGAAACATCTCGTTGCCGCTCTAGAGCGGGAATGATGCATTCCCGCTCACCAAAGCTGATTTCCCAGTTGTCGTTTCTAGACCAATCACATCCGCGGATCGGTTAACAAAACAAATACAATTGATCGTTAACAATCGGTAAGAAACAACATAACCTTAACATTTTATATACATCTAAAACGTTAATTTGTGTGTTATTATAATTCAATGATGGTGGTAGGAAAATATTGTGTGTATGACAAGCACAAAGTCATTGCCGCTCTCGAAATGTAGGGCATTCAACAAAGCTTCGCAATGAGGTACTTTGCGCTCAGTTAGCTATTTTACCAAATCGAAGAGAAGTGAAGTGCACCACGCGCTGGCTGGGTTATTTCCAGTTGGTTATTTCACCCATGAAGGTTATCAAATGTAATCAGTGTATGGCCTACAAGTTATTTTTATTTTTTATTTTTTTATAAAAGAACAAAATACGCCTGTGTTATGTATTAACTCTTTGATATTTTGGCAACTTTGTATCCTTGCTGAAAATGTTTTATTGTAATATTAAGCCATATTGAGCGTTGTATACATGTTTAGCATATAATTGCTTCACATAATCGGCTTAATATATTCAAAATAGGTCCTAATACTCCGAAACTAAGGCCTCGGGGCCTGAAAAGATCATAACAAAAATAGAAGAGCGAGTTTTTGGCGTTTATACTTTATAAAACAATTTATACAGTTATTACACTTGCTATTGCACTTTGTATTAGTGATATTCTAAACTAAGGAATTCTTGGGAAACAGGGTGTTTTACATAAACAAAATAATTCTTGCGAATTACGATATTTTAAATAAATAACGAATTTTGGTGAAGTGTTTTACGTAAGCTAAACTCTTCTATACAAAATAGAAACATCCATATTTCTTTTAAAAATCAATGCAACACTATGAGTCACAACATATTATACAGAATTTCGTCTTACCGTGACTCACTCTCCTTAGTCAGTTAAAACTCCCATTCATCAGATGTATAAAAAAATATAAAAAGCTGTTGAGCGGAATGACTAAACTAATCACGCCATGTGCCCAGTGTAAAAAACAAGTGGCAACGCACAAACAAGAACAGCTGATTAATGATTTATGACTTATTAAGAAGCTCCGTGCATTATCAGCTGTTCTAATGAATGATTTATTAAAGCGGAAGTAAGCGTACACATGACAGGAAGTTAGAACCACGTGACAGTTCAGTGATTAACGCTTCATATTAGGATGCAGTTCATTAGATAATAAATTAAAGACTAGGACTATATAAAGTAACTCTAAGAAAACTTTAGGTTGAAACACTCCCGTGATCTTAAGAGATATTTTTATAGTGTAAATAATAATGCTTAGGAGTGGAGGCCTACCTAAAGGTAGTTTTTAGGTACAGCCCTATAAAATCGCCAAAAGTGGCTAATAAATATTAATGAAGTCTCTACATTATAGGATATCAGTACTCTATTAATTTTAAAACCGTTCAAAAAACACAAAATTATGTAATCTTTTTAATGTATGCAATTATAAATGTCTGTGTTACTTATGGTAATTACATTTATGAATGAAACTTTTAAGAATCAATATTTATTAAATATTGGAGACATTATTGTGATAATAGCTACGTTTGCAACATTTGATAACATAATAATTTTCCTTTTTAGCAAAAATAAAAATGTATTTGCATTTAAAAGTACATTAGTAGAAAAAATGTGAAGTTTATTTTTGTAATGTTGACGCAATTGTTTGCGAAAGTATATTTCAACAAAAAATATTCAAGTTACCACCAAACAATAACATTTAAAGTTGTCTGAAGAAATTTTAAGTAATTCTTAGACGTATATTTAACACATTGATTTTTAATTTAAGATAAAGAAGTGTGTATTAGAGAGATACGAGAGCTCACCCCGTGGTCAAAAACTTTACCAAATGTACATGTATTGTGCAAACTTCTCTATTTTAACCCCACGCTGTAAACAAAACATATGATTAGAATTTCTTCCATACTTTTGGTACAACGCGCGTGTAAATCGGTCCAGTAAGTATGGTCAGGCTAGCTGTCGTAAACTTTAAAATTTTGTCCCATGTTAAATCTCCATAAGAAAAGTCTCCATAAGTATTTTTATATAATATGTTCCTAGAGGTCGCTCCGTGGTTAGAAACCCAACCAAAAATATGTAATGTACAGACTTCTCTATTTTCCCCACACACTGTAAATAAAACATGTGATTGGAATATCTTCCATTTGTTTTGATTTTCTGTTTATATTTTGTTGTGTTATTTCGTCATCACCATGGCAACCCATAAGACCCATGTTATTTTTTTAAAGATTTCAAATTAATTTTTCGTGCTTATTTGTGAGCCTAGTTCAATTTATAAAGGGATTCTGCACATCTACAGGTAAATATCTTTCATTTGGCACCAACCACGTGTAATTCGGTCCAGTGGTATGATCAGGCTAGCTGTCATAAGTTTTGCAAAATTTTTTTAGTATATGAGACTATAGTAGACAGAACAGGTAAAAAACTTAATAAAATAAGAAAAGTTAACACATTAACTATGAACATAATCCAAAATATTGCTGTAAGATAATAATCCATAGTTAAGTTAGTTCTTGTATTACAGTAAACTAATGATACATTCGTAAACAGAGTCTCGATAATCGATAATGAGACCCTCGATAACAAGTCACCCTTGATAACAAATGTACAAGTGTAATTTAAACATTCCCTTACTGTTATTTTAATCCCAATCCCACGTTACAGCATTGATAGAGGTCAACCTTGGTAACAAGTCATATTCAATAATCCCAATGATATTCTTGTTATTGAGGTTCCACTGTGATAAGAGAATCGTTCCACGAGCGTTTATTATTATTTAGACGACGCCACAACATAAACAATGTAAAAGTGAAATCAATGATATTCTTAGCATTGACTATCTAATTTGTTCTGTAAGCCATTGTAAATGCAAGTCAAAGGATTGTATACATTTATAATACAGTATAATTTAAATTTACCCAGTGTTTATCCCAACATTGTACATAAACAATACAAACAAAAATATATTAACGTAAAATTCATATTAAAATCAAATTAATCAACAGATTTAGTAAAAGACGATGTACATGAAAACATTTAATATTTAATCATAGCTTATCTAAGGATTAATTTAAATTAAAATGCAACGATTAAAATAAAAAATAACTAAAACATATTAAAATAAAACTACAAATAATTTTTAAGAATTAAACCCTTAAAAACTTACCTTGAATCCAAAAAAGGACGTTGAACTAAAAAGGAACCACTGATCGTCACGACATTACAAACGTATACAAATTATACAGAATTGCGCTCGTGCCGGTGTGTGCGCGTGCGACGGTGCGACTTGAGCTCACCACGCGGTCGTGCTCACAACTACGGACCTGGGCTGTTCTGTATTGGCGGGACGTCTTCGCTTTTGGAGGGAGTAGAGGGGGCGCTCTCCGATTTCACTTTACAACTAACTAAAATCCCTTTCTGAAAAATAAAACCCGAAAGGCCCTTTTTCTCGTGAACATGTGTTTCGAATCGGGCGACCGTCGGAGCGGCACATACGGGGCTTTGGCGGAAATTGTAAAACTTCAGAGTTATAAGCCACTAACGAGAAGGTTATAGTTTCAGTATAGATGAAATGTGTAGTCTTAATTTGTAGTTGACCGACAACGGATAGAAGAGTGGGTATAGCATACACCTTTTGTCCTCAAGTACCGGATTCAAATCCAGCAGATTACCAATGTCTTACGATAATCCTGCGACTTAATAGTTTGAAGTCTACTATCATTGACTATATATACCTACAGTAGGTACAGTAGGTATATATAGTCAATGCTACTATGTAGGTTTACCTATTAAGAAAAAATAGTCTCTTAAAGAAGGGGTTTTGTATTGAAGAACTCCATCTACTAAGCCACGTGCCAATTTTGTTTTTAGTTTGTATGGTTATCGCCATTGAAATTTATTAATATTCAGAATTATTTTGTACGACCATTCCATAAAAACTTCTCTAAATATTCCAAAAGGAAACGGAAGTTTTTCTTAAACAATAAGAACAAACTCGTAAGTATTCACAAATTATTTAAAGGAATTATTTGTTATTTAGAATTGATTGGAGAATTCGAAGGAAGGGGGGGTCATTTAATAGATTTCTGGACTTGTGAAATTGTGGCCTAGTCATTTATGATGGTCTTTTCATTGATAATTTATACTAGAGGTCAGAAACTCGACCACAAATATTATGTACAGACTTCTCTATTTTCAACCTACGCTGTAAATAAAACATGTGATTGGGATTTTTCGATTTGTTTAATTTATGTTTATATTTTGTTGTTATTTCGTTACCAGCATGACAACCCCTAAGGTCCATGTTATCTTTTTTTAATACATTACTAGTGCTTATTTTTAGTATATTTTAATTTATGGAAGGATTCTGCACATCAACAGGAAAATATCTTTCTAACAGTATACAGTAACAGTATAAGAGTTGGATTTTTGCGTAGATTTTCTCTGCGATTCACAGGAGCAGAGAAAAAAGGGTTTAAAGAAAAATGCTTGCCTATTAATTAAAAAAATTTTAAATCTCGAACGTTTTACAATATTGAGTGAGGAAATATTCACTAACCAAAACTCATTGAAGTTGTAAATAAATTTAAATTTTCTTTATTTCCCAATTGGGATATTATATTATTATTAGCGATGCCTAAATGGGTTAATGTAAGGATTATTAAAAAGTATTATACTATCATGAAAAGTAATAGGATGAATTATATGCAGAATAGTCTGTAGTTTCAAATGTGGTTGTTAGGAGAAAATAGGTCAGTTCTGTCGATAGTGAAGGACTCTCTTCAAAGCGAAAGAGTTTACAATTGACCTTATACCACATCCAAAGAAAACTCTAAACAGCTACTTCGAAATATAAACTACTGTGTATGTAAAATAGCTATCCTTTATATTAATAGGCAAGCATTTTTCTTGAAAACTTTCTCAGGTCGTTTACATCACAGGGAAAATCTACGCATAATGTTAAAAAGATATTTGCCTGTAGATGAGCAAAATTACTTTATAAATTAAAATAGACTAAAACATAAGCACAAACATTAATTTAAAAAATTAACATGGGCCTAATGAGTTGGTGACGAAATAACAACGAAATATAAACAGAAAATCAAATTAAATGGAAGAAATTCCAATCACATGTTCTATTTACACCGTGGGGTGAAAATAGAGAGGTCTGTACATTACATATTTTTGGTCGAGTTTTCGACCACTGGACGACCTCTAGTTTGATTTAAACCACAGTAAAATATTATGTCAAATCTTTTAGGTGGTTGTACTAGACTAATAGCATTGATTGCACACGAAATTATAAATTAAATTATAACCAGGTCTAACTAAGGAAATTCTAATTTACTATTGTAAATATTCTATTGTGTATATCTCTAAATTATAGTTACTTTAGTGTTACCTGTTACCGGAAACTTTTTTTGTTGGATTTGTTACAAAAGTTTGATTGGATCGGAAAGACATTTTCAGAAACCACGAAAGTAGAAAGTTGAAAGCCTTGTAAGTTAGAGTCGATTTCTGAAACTTTTAAATCCAAGTAAACTTTTTACCAAAACTGTTTAACTTGGTAGATTGTTGTAACATATTGATTCAAGAACTTATATGGTTGTTTATTACGTAATATCACTATTGATAAAATTTAAAACTTACAAATAATACGTTTAACATTACTGTTAAAGAAAATTAGTATATTATTAAGGTACAGTATATGTTTTGCCATTTAAAACCTAACAGTTATTTAAAAGCATGCAATAGTTACATGGTTACATGATATAGTTACCATGCCTTTAAAAATAAACTGGGTAAATATATTTAAAGTTCGAGAGCTAAAATAGCTTATATTACCTCCATTAAGAACTTGGAATTCCAATTGTAATAGATGGTTCAGCTATTTTTTTTTTCTCCAACGTATATGGTTGTTTCCTTGGTACCTTGGTACAGGGTGTCCCAAAAAGAAGGGATCAAAAGTAAACAGGCATAAATACTAATTATTAAAGATAAACAGTTATGCTTATATGCAATTTGTCCTTAAGTTCCATGGTTTCACCGCCTATCCTCTACATGTTCCCAGTCATTTATTCGAAGAAAGTCAAGTTGGTGCTTCACCGCTGACATGTTTGGTGTATTTCATTAAATATTTTTCCAAAGGCTTCCCTTATCTTTGCTTTAAACTCACTTGAGATGGCGAGCGATACACTTGATCTTCCACAAACCCCTAGACAAAAATAACACCACAGATTTTGTCTCGATAAACCATTCAATACATTGTGCTTTCAAACCTGTATGTTTTAAAAATTCAAACGTGCTAACAACAATGGAACAGCTGATTACTGTTGAATGGTAATAAGCAAAACTTAATTATTGCAGCTTTAAAATTAGCCGTAGTTGACCCATTATGGTTACGGTAATATTATTAAGCTGTAGATGTGATATTCTTTTTGGGGCATGGTATATTATCAGAATTTTTCTAATTAATTATAACAACAATATTATTAAGCTGTAGATGTGATATTCTTTTTGGGGCATGGTAATTTATCAGAATTTTTCTAATTAATTATAACAACAATATTATTAAGCTGTAGATGTGATATTCTTTTTGGGGCATGGTATATTATCAGAATTTTTCTAATTAATTATAACAAATACGTATACTGTATAATAACTTTTACAATGATAAATAGTATATTACACTAGGTTTTGCTATTACACACGTAACAAAAATTGGAAACCAGAAGTTACATGACTTTAATTCTGGTAAACACTTTCATATCTCGAGAGTTCAAACAATTATTCGTATATTCATTACGAATTTGAAACTTCGATGGTAATAGAAACCAAGGGGCTCAAGACTTTGGATTCAACTCTGTGCAGGGAGATTTTTCCCTACACCCTTAGCAATATGGGACTGCCTCTGAACTACATGTATTTTACCTGGTATTTAGGGGTACTTCCATATTGCTAAGGGTAATATGCCTAACTATACATACATTTTACCAACACTAGTTTTAGCGAATTTCCCTATAGGGAATAAGCTATTACCGTAGGTCTCATGGTTAGACTTAGTCCCGGGGCCGATTTACTTTTTCATTTTGATGTACCTAGAAGCCAAAAATACCATCCGTTCAAATTCATATATATATGTATATGTGTCCGTCAGCACGATAACTCGAGCAAAAATGATCCAATTTCGATGAAATTTGGTACAAACGTGTAAACCTACGTTTATTCGAACGAGTTCGCGAACCAGCATGATCGGACCATGGGAACGGGGTTTTATGGGGGGATTTATGGGGTAAAAATTGGGTTTTCTCATTTTTGACCCTCAAAACACAAAATTTCCCAAATTTCCTCTAGACAATTTTGAAGAGCTTAAAAAAACAAATAATTCAGTATATTGTAGTGTTTTTGTATGGTTATTAGTTATGGAGAAAATTGTAAATTAAAAATTCCCATGTTATTCTTATGGAGAATAAGTAAACTGTTGTAGTTTGCTTGTTTATGCATATATTTGGATCAAACTTGGCCAATCTATTTATTTTATACCAAGCTATTATTATTTTATTTAAAAAACAAACTTTATTACCCTGTAGGCAGCAATCCTAGGTACTCGTTAAAACTAATGTTATTTGAATAGATTTAATTGAAAATCAAATCAGGCAAATGGAAATTCGCTTAGTATGCAGGTTTGCTGCGGCGGGGGTATTTCTCACTTGACACTGTTACAATATGCCTTAGTTTATTTTTATTGAATGGTATTAAGTTATAAATTCAATATGGCCACTGACAAACCGTTCGTTTATAAGGCCAAGCATCAGTATTACTTATAAACGACCATCCATTTCTATAGAGAGCTTTCGTTATACAGTACATAGATATGGAGGGTTGGGAAGTTCATTATATCGAAGGACGCTACTACAAGTAGGGGTTTGTGGAGCTGCCTTTTTATCGTAACACACCAGATATTCATATTACCTCTATACCATCATTGGCCATTTACGTATTACTGTCATTAAAGAATCAGCTGACCTTAATCAGCTGACTTGCCATATGATTTATTTAGCACTCACCCTGCACCCAAATAAGTTCTCTATTTTGTTAGCGTCACATGAATCTAATGCAATCTATTTTTGGTTTCACTTGCAGTTGATTATACGAGTGGCGCATCAATACTGTATGGAAGTTTGTCTACTACATTTGGGGTTTCCAGAAATGTAGTGCTTAGAACTTTCTCTCACTATTCGGAAAATTATGAAAAAC